TGTGGTCACTGAGCCTGTCCTCTCTGGACAGCCAGGTCTGCCTGTGTCCAGTTTCTATGGCCAGGCTGTGGTCACTGAGCCTGTCCTCTCTGGACAGCCAGCTCTGTCTGTGTCCTGTTTGTGTGCCCAGGCTGTGGGCAGTGAGCCTTTTCTTCATTAGGGTCTGTTTCTCCATGCTGTCTCTCACCAGAAGTAGCCATGATCAGAAATGGAGCCTCATAGGGCCAGGTAAATAAGGTTCCGTCTCTCTGTTTCTTGAATGCGCAGCTGAGAAGCTGTCTGTGTGCTCGGTGGTCAGTAGTTCTGCTCTGCAGGACCCCAGAGAGACACGTTTCCAGATTTGTGGATCATGTGAACAGGAGAGAAACCTCTTGAGTAGGCTGGTGCCTTAGAGAGGATATTTAAAGCTCCTTCCTGCCGCATGTGCAAGACCCGTGAGAGGGGGCGGGGCTGTAGTGTGGCAGTGGGCATCCATTGGCTGAGGGCCAGAGTCACGTGTCTCCCTGCGCTGTTCCCAGCAGCCCCACACCAAGAGCGAAGGGAGCGGATGTTGCCGAGGCCTGGCGGCTCACTTCTCCGAAGGGTACGGTACCGAGGTACGTTTCCCCTAGCATCCGGTGACAGCGCTTGTGCACGTCCAGATCCGCCTGCGTTCTGTCAGTACAGCTCAGGTCCGTTTGTCACTTGCACTAGTGCAATGAAACATTTGCACGTAGGCTCCTATATAAAGCCATTAAGGAATCACCAAAACATAAACTCAGAGCGGCAGGAGCAAGAACCACAAAGTTAAAAAAGACACAACTTTATTAAAACTCGGTACAAGCAAAAAGAAAACCCCACCAGTGTGAGCCAGTAATAGGGGTAGTGTCAGTGAGCCAGTAATAAGGGTAGTAAGTGTCAGTGAGCCAGTAATGGGGGTAGTAAGTGTCAGTCATCTGGCAGCTTGTGGGAAGAAAGTGTCTCTAAATCTGGACGTACAGGGTACGTGTCTTTATGCTCCTATAACGCTCACCAGAGGGCAGGGGGGAGAAAAGTGAGAAACTAGCATGCCTGGTGTCCTTAGCAATACTCCCAGCCTTCCTGAGACAGCGAGCTGTAAAAATGTCCACAGTAGAGGGTAGCTGTACCCCAATGATGGACTGATCAGCTGACCTGATCACCCCCTGTAACGCCTTCAGTCAGCCAGCGAGCTGCTGCCAAACCACACTGTGATCCCACACGCGAGCACGCTCTCAGGAGCGCACCTGTAACATGTTTTCTGAGATCTCGGGCTTGTCGGCTTGTTTCCTGAGCCTTCCGGGGGCTGGGGGTTCGAGTTGGGGTGTTGACGCCGTGTCCCCGTGCCAGGAGGTGCTGACGGAGACAGAGAGCGGTCAGGCGGCGCCCCAGGGAGAGAGCGACGCGGACGCGGACATAGAAGACACCGACAACAGGTGCGTGCGGACAACCCTTCCCAGCAGGAGGACTGAGCGGTTCTCTCTCTCCTGGTCCCGGAGGGACGTTGGCCTGCGGGTTTTACAGGGACCACAAACTCCATCCATCCCTTTTCTAACTGCTCCATCTAGTACAGCATTGCAGGGCAGCCAGAGCCTATCCCAGCAGGCAACAGGCTCAAGGCAGGGTACACCCTGGATGGGACGCCAGTCCAGCACAGGACACACACAGGCACACACTCACACTAGGGGAATTTTTCCCAGAAGCCTGTGGGAGGTAACCCATGTGAACGCAGGAAGAACATGCAAACTCCACACAGATAGCACCCCAGGTCCAGAACTGACCTCAGCACTGTGAGACAGCAATGCTGACCACTGCGCCACTCTGCTACCCTGGACCACAAGCTTCTCTGGGAGCAGCTGTTAATTCAGTCCAGCTGAGCCAATAATTGACTCGGTTAAGTTATCAAGAGCCCAGACAGATTGAGCACCAGCAGGGACCTGGAGAGCTTTGCAGTTGTGTAAGTGAAGCTCGCTGGCTTAGACAAGGCAAACAACAAGAGTAAGACACGTGCAGGCACAGAACTCACAAACAGAATGACATATAGAGAGAGACTCACAAACAGAATGACCAAAATACCCTCCAGTGTAGTAGGCCGGTCCCTTTTCAGGCCATAAAGGCCCCCCAGGAAGGGGGAGGAGGGGTGGGGACAAGGCCACTATGTTTCTCAGCCATCCAACACTGGAGGTGGAGGTGATGTGGTGAGCATCACAGCCCCTAGAAGGATTAACCCCTGGTACTCATTTGGAAAGCAGGCTGAGTAGACCTGGGAGCCGTGTGGGAGGAATTAGAGTAAGCTACATCACTTTCCCTTACCTGGGATTGAACCCAGGACCCTCCAGTCAGGAGCCAGATGCCCTTGCCCTCTGAGCTACTATGGCCCCCCTGCTGAAGTTTGTGATCTACAGTATAGAAACCAGCCGGAAGCCTGTCATGAGAGAAGCACGAGAGAAGGAGTGGCATGGTGAGGGTGGGGTCTCTTTGTCACGTCTCCTCCCTCCTCCTCACTCTGAATGGCTAGGCTGCGGGAGGCGGAGTCCCTGCAGCGAATCAGCTCCAAGCGCCGTCGCCGACAGCGCATCACCAAGCAGGACACCACGGAGAGCGAGGACGACGGGGGGCGGAGCCACAGGGTGCATCGCTGGAGCCTGCGGCTGAGCCCTCACCGCACCCACAACCGCACTATAGAGGAGGTAGAGAGGGTAACTGTAGTGCACGGAACTAGACTCCCGCCTTGCCTGTTTACAGTATATACACAATGAACTGGGGGGCTCTGAAATGTAAAGGGGTACTGGGCAGTGTGTTCCTGTGAGCACATACCTGTATAGCCCAGGGAATGGTGCACTGGGTTTGTGTGACCATGTTGGCTATCACGTGTCCCCCTAGTGGTCAGAGATAATGTTAGCACCCTGTGGCGTGTATTGCTGCCAGTACCTGTATCAGTACCTCTAGGAAGATACTCCTGGATTTATACTGTCCTATAGCACTGCAGTGTGTATACTGGTTGCTATAGTGGCCAGAAGTAGTTCAAGTAGGGAGCTGCTTCAGCATGTGTAGGCTGCAAAGGAACAAGTAAAGGTTTATTCCCTGCTGAAAAGAAACAACATTTCGGCTGTGGAGCCTTCTTCTGAAGAAGGCTCCACAGCCGAAATGTTGTGTTTCTTTTCAGCAGGGAATAAACCTTTACTTGTTCCATTATAGTAGCCAAACTCCAAGACAGGTTGTACAGGAGGTACAGAGTTTAAAAAGACTCTTCAACTCTACCAGCACTTCAAGCACACAGCACTGACCTGTCCTGTCTCTCTCTCTCTGACAGGAGAGCGTGTCTCAGGTGCGCCCCTTGGTACTATGTCGGGGCTCCTCCGGGATGACAGTTTGCACCCCCTCCAAGCCGGAGCAGGTCAGGGGGTCTGCCCTGCGGCCTCCCGGCCCCCTGTCCTGGCCGCTGGCCCTCTCCCTCCTCCTCCTCCTGCCTCTGTCCGTCCTGCTCATCCTGGCTCTGCTGCCGCTGGTCAGGACATGAGGCCGGTCATGAGGCCGGTCTCTCTCTCTCTCTCTCTCTCTGTGTGTGTGTGCGCCTCTCTCTCACGTCTGATCTCCACCATTTCCTCTCTCTCTTTCATCACCCTTGCTTACACTTTCACTTCCTCCCACTCTCTCTTCCTTCTCACCTTTCTCTCTCTCGCCCATCTGTCTCTCTTGTGCACTGAGATGAACTCAGCGATAAGCTCTCCCTCCTACTCTCCTCCTGTCTGCAGCTGCTCTCCTCTCTATGGGACTCTCTCCTCTCTCCTCCTGTCTGCAGAGGGACACAGCTCAGAGCCCTGCTCTCCTCTCTCTGGGACTCTCTCCTCTCTCCTCCTGTCTGCAACTGCTCTCCTCTCTCTGGGACTCTCTCCTCTCTCCTCCTGTCTGCAACTGCTCTCCTCTCTCCTCCTGTCTGCAGCTGCATAATTTCTCTCCTCCTGTCTGTTACTGCTCTCCTCCTCCTGTCTGCAACTGCTCTCCTCTCTCTGGGACTCTCTACTCTCTGCTCCTGTCTGCAACTGCTCTCCTCTCTCTGGGACTTGGACTCTCCTCTCTCCTCCTGTCTGTATCTGCTCTCCTCTCTCTGGGACACTCTCCTCTCTCCTCTAAGAGGGTGTCTCCATTCCAAGAGACTCTTCAAGTCTTTTAGGTTCTGTTCTAGTTCGGGCCTGAATGACCCAAATGGACAAGTTCTTATCCTCATCAGTACCTGTTCCACATTTTTTAACACTGACCCTTTAAATCAGCCCTGCAGAACTGTGGATCTCTAGAACCTGTTTCTTACCTCTCCCACCCAAAACAGGCGAAACAGCGCCCTCTGGTGGCCTGGGCCGGTTTGGCACTAGAGCAGTAGTAAGGGAGATATTTGAGATTGTGTACTGAAACAGTTTGGGCATCTCCAAAGTCACCCCTCCAACCCCAAGATTGAGGAAGGGGAATCGGGGATTGTGGTCAACGTCTGACTCCGAGATCCAAGTCTATCGCCCCAACCTCTCCAGCAGGTGCCAGAGGTTCTCCTGGAAAAGTCCAGGGCCCCAAACTCGGGGAAAACCACTCGGGGAGGTTTTTTCCAAATGTGCCTTTTGAGGCTTGTCAGGAAGGTTAGCACTTTAACCGCATTCCAGAGCTTGCTGAAGGGGTGAGCAGGTCGTGAACCCCAAAACCAGTGGGGGGAGGGAAGAGGAAGGGGCTACGCATGTGGACTCTGTAACAGGGTGACGGGCGAACTCCGTAGCCGGTGGGAGAGTGTAGGGCGCTCCCTGGGCAGCGGTACCCCCAGTGGGCGAATTCGGATTCACCTCTTCAAGTGAACTCTACCGCTAAACCAAAATCCCGCTTACCTGGAAGGAAAGAAAGACCTCTGAAGGATCCCCTCGGTCTCTCGTTAGGGTTCTCTGGAAAAGCAAAGAAGAGAGAGGGAGAGGGGGTTAGGAACTGGAAAATGCCCATACCACCTGAGAGAAGCCAGCAGGACGGCCGAGATAATAATAATAATTGCACTTTTCTGGACACTCCTCTCAAAGCGCTATACAGGTAATGGGGAATCCCACTACCGCCACCAGTGTGCAGCCCCACCTGGATGATGCTCCAGTACTCTCACCACACACCAGCTCTCAGTGGGGAGGAGAACAGAGGGATGAAGCCAGTTCAGAGAGGGGGATTATTAGGAGGCCATGATTGGTAAAGACCAGGGGGAAATTTGGCCAGGATGTCAGGGTAACGCCCCTACTATTTTCGAGACATGCCCTGGGATTTTTAATGACCACTGAGAGTCAGGACCTCGGTTTTACATCTCATCTGAAGGACGGTGCCTTTTTACAGTCTAGTGTCCCCGTCACTATACTGGGACATTTGGACCCACACAGACCACAGGGTGAGCGCCCCCTACTGGTCCCACTCACACCTCTTCCAGCAGCAGCCCTAGCTTTCCCAGGAGTCTCCCATCCAGGTACGGACCAGACTCACACCTGCTGAGCGTCACTGGGGCTGCCAGCTGTGGGTTGCACGGTGATATGGCTGCTGGCAAAAGATGATTTTTTCCCTGACCTGGAATCAACCCTGGCCACAGCACTGAGGGCGAGAAATCCTAACCTCTAAGGCCACCAGGAAGGGCAATGCTATTGCGAAGTTTATTCCCATGAATGGCACGGTCCAGATGACTGCCCGGCGATCTAAGGACAGGGTCGGAAGTGGGCCGCCAAGCAGGTCCCCAACAGACTGCCCAGATGCATGATGGGATCTGATTCTCTGGGACCCTTCCAACAAACTTCAGTGACCCAACTTGCGAAGACAGGTCCCACGCAAAATACTGGCACATGGGACCTTCCCCGGATTTTGCAATGAGTTGGGCTAATTATCCATCCACTCATCCCCTCCTTCTCCTGTATCCTTTAGGACTGCACTTGTTTCCAGCAATACAAAAAAAAAAGTTTTTCAATGAATATATTTTTCAATGAACCCCCCCGATCAGCCGGCTACCTTCTTTTCGAAAGTTACATAGATTTCGTTTATAACTGGACAGGAAGGAAGCAGAGGATAAGAATTAGCAGGAAACCAGCATTGACTCACAGTTCACTTTAAGGCGACTTTATGCCATATGGTTTTTTTCAATGAACCCTCTTCGCTCGTGATCCAAAATCCCTCTGCAGAACTGTGTGCAGGACCGCGCTTGTTTCTAGCAATACAGTAAAAATCTCTGTTTTCGGTGAAAACTCTGAAGCAGCGATAACGTCCAGTCTATGCATCAGACAGGAAACCCCTGCCACAGACCCCGGATCCCAGTAGGAATCCGGATTCATTCCTACTCCTCGGACGACAGACCCGATTTCCTTTCCTCCCTCCTCTTCTCTGGGGCTCAGAAATGCTGAGGAGGAAGAGCAGCTTTCTGTTGTTGATTTTTTCAATAAAGAGTGTTTCTATACCGAGGTGTCTCGCGTCTGATTGGGAGTGAGCGCCTTATTTTGGATCTCCAGCTGTGGTGGGGGGGACTACAGTGTGTTCACCCTAAATCACACGTTTGTAAAGATCGGGATCGCTGGTCAGTTATTGATCAAGCGAGCAAGTCTCTTTCAATTCAGGGACTTTTGGCCCTTGAAAGGCTGAAGAGTTCTGTTCTAAATCAAGCAAAAATGATTATTTTTTAAATATAAAGTGTATTATCATCTTTATATTATTAACTTAAGACATGGGTAATTTCATGGTTAAAAACAAAGGAAAGGTTACAAACAGGAGGGGCAATTTTGCCTACCTAGCCTGCTTGGTATTGGCTTATTGATTTGCGGATCAATATAAATAGTCCCTGTCGCTCTTATTGGCTTGGGTTATGTGGCGTATGAATATGTGGACACCAAATGCTGTACCCTACCTGACTACCGGAACTTCTTCCGTGATGCTGTGACAGGAAGTATGGATCCAGACCCAGACCGGCCAATCAGAAGAGAGCTCTATCTCTTTGAGAGACAACATTCACTCAGTAATAATAATAAAAAATGCTTACACTTATATAGTGCTTTTCTGGACACTCCACTCAAAGCGCTTTACAGGTAATGGGGACTCCCCTCCACCACCACCAGTGTGCAGCATCCACCTGGATGATGCGACGGCAGCCATAGTGCGCCAGTACGCTCACCACACATCAGCTGTCAGTGGGGAGGAGAGCAGAGTGATGAAGTCAATTCTTGTGATGATCTTGAGAATCGCATGAAACCTGGAATGGGGGGGGGGTGGTACAGCTGTCCAAAAATCCATTTTCTAACATGAGATTGTAGTTTTTTTTACGCAAACAGAAGAAACACGACTCTGAAGACCGCATGAAACCAGTGACATTAGACAATGTTTTTTTTTCCTGTAAAACTATTTATTAGAAAAGGATATATTACACTGACATGTACAGAGAATAAAAGTAAAACATGTAATGTAATAGCGTCCAGTCCCTGAGGGTCAGGGTCCTACAGATTTTGAAGTGTTGTTCATCTGATTATGACCTTAAAAAAACAACCCTCAGGTCATCTGACTTCTTATTCAGGAATGTGCTGTGTTGAGCACTTCAGATCGGGGCTGGAATGAAATTGCCCAGTCCAGCAGCAGATGGTCTGTCACAGTACATTAAAGATGCACACCCGTTCCTTCCTGTCTGCAGTTTCTCCATCTGCATCTCCATCTCCGCTCCTGAAGCTTCCAGAATGTTCCCGGAGGCCTGAAGGCTGAAGGTCCTAGAATGGCCTGAAGCTTCTATAACCTTCCCAGAGACCTGAAGCTCCCAGAACGTTTCTCAGGGGCTCAATTTAAAACGCCTGGCGCCCATTATCCTGGCACGTTACCCCTCGAAACTCCAGGTCCATTTTTATATTACTCCTTTTTTAGGACAGAAAACTGTAGCCCAGTGAAACAAAAGTGAACAGCGGGATTCTTACATGCAGAGTCAGTCACACTGCTGCGGAAAGTACCCCGATTCTGCCGTCGGCTACACCCGAAAAACATCTGGATGGGAAAAAAGGAAGATGTCATAGAATTCCAAGGAAAGAGAGGAGAAGAAGCGAAGGCTGCAGGAGGAACCGTCGAACTGGTGGGACAGTAATTAGGGATGTCAGGCTAATCCTTATGACATCCCGGGATCCTAGAAAGTGTGACGAAGCTCCGGGATCAATCCGTTGATTTCTTGCAGACCTCCTTTCCTCTTACTCCTGTTTGTTCGCCTCTCGTTTTGGTAGCCAAGAAAATAACCGGACTGACCGTGCGTGGCTCCAAATGGGTTTTCAGCCGAACAGAATGGCGGATCCAAAGTGGGCAGGAGAGGAAGAAGATGGTGAGGATAGGGGAGCTCAGATGGCCTTCGTTTCCTGCGGTGGACGTGCACAGGCCAAGAAGTCCGGAATCGGAAAAGAGGCGAAAGCCTGGCAGCTATCCCAACAGGAAGAACACAGGACCGAGGAACGCACGAAAGCTCAGATGGGATCGATGATGGACTGCAGCTCTTCCCGGATGGCGTTGAGCTCGATCAGGCCGGAGTGCAGCTGTCTGGTGGCCTCGCGGACCTTGGCGGCATACTCTGACTTATCACCGAGCTTCAGGTCCTGCTTGTCTTTGGCCACAAAGTAGACGTCCATGCCCACGAAGAGACTGGCCAAGAGGCCGGTGGCCCCGGCGGCAATCTGCACGGCTCGGGCCGCGCTGCCCGCGGCGTCGGCCATCTGGGTGGCCTGCCTGACGTGCGCCGCGTGGCTCGGGAAGACCTCGCTGGGTCTGCCGCTGCCCTCACAGGGGTGGTGCGGCCCGGGGACGCGGCGGCCGTAGGAAGAGGACGCGAATCTCACGATGTCGTACTTCTGTAGACTCCCGATGCCTTGGTGGATGAACCTCAGGCTGTGGCTGAGGTCCACCATCTTCTTCTGGTAGTCCTCCACGATCTTCTCCGCTTTCTTGCGGTCCTGGGAGTTGTGGACCGTGTCCGAGATGGTGGCTGTGGTGCTGGCTATTCCTCCCGCCGCGACCACGCCCAGCCCCACTGCGGTGACCACCAGGGAGGTGCCCAGGGTCAGCGGCGCCAGCATCAGCCCGGTGATGGTGGCCACCCCGCCCACCGCGCTGGTGGTGCCCCCCGTGATGGCCGCGATCTTGGCCTTCCTGTGGAACTTGTCGATGTCGTCCGCGAGGGCGTTGAGGTAGGAGATGTGCTGCCACAGGCCCTCGGCGCGCTCGATGAACAGCTTGTTGAAGAGGCGGATGCCCTTCTGCACCTTCACCGTGGTGTTGGCCAACGCCCTGGCGCACAGAGGAAGGAGGAGGGGAGAGCGGAGGGCAGGTCATTGAGACTTTAAGGTCTAAAAACAACATTCACAAACTCTAACCAAACAGGCTATCCATCCATCCAGTTTTTAAAGCACTTTATCCAGTACAGGGTGCCGGGGGGAGACGGAGCCTATGGGTAATGGTCCAGATGGGTAAGTGGGCAATGGGTGCAAAGCAGGGTACACCCTTGACTGGATCCCAGTCCATCACAGGACACACACAGTCACACACTCTCGCATTGCTAATAAATTGTGAGAGGCTAGTTCTTAACAATATGGTGACCCCCTTTCAATATGG